TTTTATCGAAATATTTTTTGTCAAAAATTTTTACGAAATTTTTTGACAAAAATGTGTTCCGTTGAAAATTTTGATGGAAATTTTTTTTATCAAAAAACTTGACGAAAATATTTAGTCAAAATTTTTTAATGGAAATGTGTTTCGCTAAAAATTTCGACGAAATTTTTTTTTTGTCAAAAAGTTTAACTTTTCACCGAAATTTGATTTCTGTAAAGAATTTTGATGAAATTTTTTTTCGTCAAAAAATTTCGATGAAAATGTTTTTCGTCGAAATTTTTGATGAATATTTTTTTTTTTTAAATATTTTGACGAAATTTAGATTTTGTAAAAAAAATTGACAAAAAAAATTTTCAGTCAAATTTCTTTTACAGAAATATTTTGTCACAAATTTTGATGAAAATATTTTGAAAAAATTTTGATGAAAAAATTTTGCGTAAAATTTTTTGACGTAATTGTTTTACGTTAAAACTTTTCTTTTAATGTAATTGTCTTTTTTTTTTCTCTTTTTTTTCACATAATGAGTATGGATCAAGTTTTAGGTCAATGGGTCATTATTAATATAAGTCAGGTCTAAAACTGACCCAAATGAAGTGGATCAATATTTAAACCCAGTTCGAAAAATAGGTATTTAAGAGTCAGGTCAAGGTTAGATCAAAGGCAATACAAGTAAATCAGTTTTTTTGCACACCCCTAAATATATCTAGTGTCCATCACAACTAGGGGTGTAAATGGGCTGGGCTAGGCTAGGCTTTGGCCTTCATGGCCTAAGCATACGTAAAAAATATTTAGCCTATCTGGCATACTAAAGACTTTATTTGTGGGTCAAGCCTGGCTTATTTTTAAAAATTAGAGAGCTTGATATGGCCTACAGACCCTGTAGGCCTCCTTTGTGATATATTTTTATAAAATTTAAAAAAAAAATTAACAATTTTTAAAATATTCGCTTGACATTACAAGTCATTAACTTGTTTATAAATTGCTGTATTTTTTTGCACGAGATATAAATTTCACTAGTAAGCATTAGAAATTTTACAATAGTAAAAAAAATAACTAAAAAAATATACTAAGCAAAGTTCCATTCATACATGCACTAGTACTTCTTATAAGAAATAAAAAATGACAAACAAGAAAGAGTCAACATAATACCTCAACTCTATAATATATATCAGAGAGGAATAGAGTCAAAGAAATGGGGAAAAAAAATACAATTATTAGGTCAACCAAAGCTGAAATAAAGTCTACAAGAGAATATCATTCATTGAAATATCTTTAAACCACCATCAAGACAAGGGTTGGTACTAATTGTCACCAAAAGTAAATATATTATTTTATTTTATTTTTAAAAATTAAATAGGTCAGCCTGCAAAGCTTTAGGTCAGGTTTGACAAAATTGACATATTTGTTAAAAAGACTTTCTTATAAGCCTAAGCCTATTTTACTTTTCAACATAAGTCGGGCTAGGCTAGGCTAGACTAGTCTTAACGTAGGCTGGACTGTAGGCTAAGCTTAACGTAGGCTGGGCTATAGGTTAGGTCAGGTCCGTCTAGCTCATTTACACCTAATGACAACCCAATTCCAATGCCATGACGTTACGACGCACCACAAGCTGCTCCGAATCCCAACCATCAGAAGCATGAAAAGCCAACCGATATTTATGAAAAAGTGTCCAAAGACATCGGTTAAAAGACATTTAATATGTTTACCGATAAAAAAATTTACATTCAGTATATAAAATATTAAAATTATTTATTGACTTTTAAGCAATTAATATATCTAGTATCCATTACAACCCAATTCCAACGCCATGACGTTACGACGAACCACAAGCTGCTCCGAATCCCAACCATCAGAAGCATGAAAAGCCAACCGTTATAGGCTCTGTTTGATTTCTGTTTTGCAAAATAATTTTTTAGTTTTCAAAATAAAAAAATTAAAAAACTCGTTTGATAAGACCTGTTTAGTAAAAAATGTTTTGAAAACTATAACTGTTTTTTTTTTTTTTTTTTTGGTATGGACTGTTTTTTCATTTTTAAAATCAAATTTAGAGAATATGTCTAGTTGTTTTTGTTTTCTGTTTTGGTTTTTAACTTTCAAAAAGAAAAAAATATAAAAAACAATGATTTCCATAATTATTTTACAAAACAGTTTTAAGAACAAAAAAATCAGAACACAATCAACCCTCTTGCATTTTAATATTATTATTTGGTGAGATCCCTCCTCGTTTGTCATGTCTCAATCAACCCTCTTGCATTTTAATATTATTATTCTTCTGAAAAATATTACATCTTTATAATTTTGTATTATTTTACAAATGAAGTTTAATAAAATAAATAGAAAAATATAGCGAGCATCATCTAAATTATTTCTTAGGAGTTAAAAAAATGATAAGGGTACCGAAAAAAAATGGTAAGGGAGAAATTGAAGGGTTAATGAGATATTTTTACAATTTCACAATTTTTTAAAAGTAATATAATTATTATATTTTACAAATAAAATTAATTTTAAAATTTCTAAACAAAATTATTTATGCATTCTTGGGGAGGGGGCTGAACCTTTAGCATCACTATTACCCCGCACTCCGGATTAGTCCTATAGCCAGCTCAAAGAGTCGAAGCTCGTGGGGATACCGGAGGGAGCCAACTCGTCTCAAAAAGATAATTAGGGTTGGGTAAATCCAAAAAAAAAAAAAGATTATATTTCTGAAGAAATTCCTAGGTTGCAAATGATAAAAATTCGGTATATCATTCCTTTGTTTAGGAGTTAAAAAAATGGTAAAGGAGAAATTGAAGGGTTAATGATATATTTTTTAATATTTTACCCTTTTTTAAAAATAACATAATTATTATATTTTCCAAATAAAATTAAATTTAAAATTTTTAAACAAAATTATCTATACGTTTTTCACACTACTAAAAAAGATTATATTTTCGACGAAATTTCTACCTTGTAAATGATGAAAATTCGGATTAAAAGTTATTTTTTTGTCAGAATACTTTTCGTCGAAAAGCGACAAAAATTTTATCCGATAAAAATTTTACTGAAATAAATTTTCTGACAAAATTTTCGACGAAATTTAGTTTTCAACAAAAGTTTTGATGAAAAAAAGAATTCTATCAAAAAGTTTGACGAAATAATTTCCATCCAAAATTTTCAATGGAAATGCGTTGCAACAAAAATTTATTTGTCGGAAATTCTTCGGTCAAAACTTTAGACTAAATTTAGATTTCGTAAAGAATTTTGACGGAATATTTTTTCGTCGAAATTTTTTTCATAAATGTTTTTCGTCAAAAATTTTCGATAAAAATGTGTTCTGTTAAAGTTTTTGAGAGAAATGTTTATTATCAAAAATTTAGATGGAAATATTTTCTGTCAAAAATTTTCGATGAAAATGTATTTCGTCAAAAAAATTAAAGGGAAATTTTTTTTGTCAAAAAGTTTGACAAAAATGTTTCCTTAATTTAAATTCAAAAAATGTTTGTCAAAATCTTTTACGAAAAATTTTTCCTTCAAAATTTTGATTGAAATGTGTTTCGTCGCAAATTTTGAGGGAAATATGTTTGGTCGAAATTTTCGACAAATATGCTTTTTTGTCAAATAGTTTGAGGGAAATGTTTTGCCGAAATTTAGATTCTGTAAATAATTTTTACAAAAAAAATTTCTGTTAGAATTTTTTAGAGAAATGTTTTTTTGTCACAAATTAAAAATTTTCGTCGAAAATTTTTCCTGGAAATGTGTTCTCGTAAAAATTTTGATGGAAATGTTTTCCAACAAAAATTTTGACGGAGTTGTTTTCCGTCGAAAATTTTCGATGGAAATGTTTTCTGTTAAAATTTTTGACGGAAATATTTTTCGTTGAAAAGTTTGACTAAAATATTTCCTTTGAAAGTTTCAGCGAAATTTTTTTTCCATCCAAATTTTTGACTGAATTTTTTTTCTGTAAAAATTTATGTCAGTGGTTATGGTCAAATCTTATTCCGTTTCTAATTTTATCTTTACTTTCGACGAAAAAATTCGTCTCTATTTTCGACATAATATGTTTTTCGTCAAAAAATTTATTGCTATTTTTTATGAAATATTTTCCGTCGATAAATTCTATCGATATTTGAGGCTTTTCTAACAATGTCACATTTATGTAGATTTTACTTTTTAATACTAAGTGTAAATAAGTAATTTCTAATATTTTCTCCCATCAATCCCCCCAAATTAGGGGAACTTTAATTTTAATGGCGAGAAGGATTTTGCAAAATCCTCAATTCTCTTCTCCCATTTTCACAAACAAGGGAATGGATTAATAAAACTTTCCCTTTCTTTTCCTTTCCCTCCTTAAACTAACTCCCAAATTAAATTCTTTTCCTTCCCTTCCCCTCTAAACTCCAAAACAAAGCCTAAAGTTTGGGGAAAATATTTCGGTTTTTTATTGCAGAATTTTTTTTGTAACACTCATATAAAAGTGAGTGAGTTTCATTATAATAAGAAAAGAGAAAAAAAATTAGTAGGATATCATGGGACCCACTCACTTTTGTGTGAGTGTAGCATAAAGTTTTTTTATATCAAAAACAGAAATATTAAACCCATACAACATACATGAATAAATGTTTTAAAAACTAAAAACAAGTAACAAATAATGTGTTATCAACATTTTATTTGAATGAATAATTATATTAGTTAGATAAAGACTAAAAGAAATTATATTAAATATTTTAAAGTTTTAAAATAAAATTAAATTATATTAAATATTTTAGAGTTTTAAAATAAAATAAAATTATATACTTACGTACTTTGATCAATCAAAATTTTTATTTGATTAAATATGTAAAAATATTACTATCTCTTGCCTCTTGGTCATGCAAATAGTCACCCACCACAAGGCAAGAGATACTTTTAATAACAATGACAAGAAACCAGCTTCAGCTCTTCTCCAAGCCTCCTATATAAATAAACAAGTATTGGACGCAAATTATTGCATTGGAGAATTCAAATAACAGAAAGGGAAAAAAAAAAGAAAAAAGAACATGGCTGCTTTCACTGAGAGGCAAGAGGCTTTAGTAAAGAGTTCATGGGAAGCATTCAAGCAAAACATTCCTAACCTCAGCGTTCTGTTCTACACCTTGTAAGCTTTCTCACTAGCTATATGTTTTCCCTTTTTGTTGTTAGTTATTGTCGTGTTTTGTAAAGAGATAGTGTGAGTCTTAAATCTTTGGTCTTGTTTTGTATCAAATAGAATATTGGAGAAAGCACCAGCAGCAAAGGACATGTTCTCGTTTCTAAAGGACTCTGCTGAAGTACCAAAGAATAATCCTAACCTCAAAGCCCATGCTGAAAAAGTTTTTGAGATGGTTAGTGCAATCTAACAAGAAATTAAAGCTAATATTGTATTTGATTACAAAATTATTGCTGCTTTTTTTTTCCAATTTTTTTCTCGGATTCTCGTATGAGTAGTAGTAGTAGTATTTTTAATTTTTCTTTGTCATTATTTTCTTGGAATTGTAGACGTGTGATTCAGCCGTTCAACTCAGGGCAAAAGGAGTAGTAGTGGTGCCAGAAGCTACATTAAAGCATTTGGGTTCTGTTCACGTCCAGAAAGGAGTCATTGATCCCCATTTTGTGGTATGATAAAAATAAAAATAAAATGTTGCAATAGATGCATTCTTAGATTTTACTATAATGATACTTCTTTGGTAATTTAGTAACGCAATAAATAAGCACCTTCTATCTCATTTTTCATTTATATTATGGCAAAACCAATGGAAATAAATAATTAAGGTAACTTGTGATAAATTTGTTTTAGTTTGAGGTTATTAACAATCTTTACTATCTATTACAATGTTCACTAATTATCTAGTATGACTTATTGATTGATTAAGTTTCTATTGGTTATATATTATTTAAAAATTCACATTTAATTAAAGTCGCATAAAAATTTATAAATAAAAATAATTAGTTGTGAGGATAATGAGACCAATAGCTAGCGTTACTCATTTTTTGAATGTTTTGTATGATTTTCATAAAATTAACAGAGTTAAACTAATGTTAATGATTTGCAGGTGGTTAAAGATGCAGTGCTGAAAACAATAAAGGAAGCAGTGGGTGACAAATGGAGTGATGAATTGAGCAATGCTTGGGAAATAGCCTATGATGAATTGGCAGCTGCAATTAAGAAGGCCATGACTTAGGATCTATTGCCATTAATAAGTTGAATAAATTATTTTTATTTCACTAAAACTTGTTAAACAAGTTCCTGTTATAAAGGTTGTTTAAAACAAGTTAATTATCATATGGATAAAATATCTTGAGCTATTTTTAAATTTTGCAAAGACTTTTGTCTGTGAATTTCAATTTATAGTTTACAACAATAAGTTCAAAATAATTTATGTGCTTTGAAAATTATTTTAATAAGCTCATTTAAACAGGATAAAAATGTTTCTATGCCAAAATAAAAATAAATAACACTAATTAAAACTTCACAAATATTTATTGTCATAAATAAATTCAAACACTAATTAAGAGAGTATTCGTACCCAATAATCCAAATGCAGAAATAACCCATAGCTGGAGACGGATGCTGATAATTGGACACGTAGGAAATCCGAATATTTTGTAAGGGGTGCAAAATCGAAATATATGCTTTTCTTTGAAGTTATAATTGTTTATGACAAAAAATATATTTATCATAGTATACAAAAAATAATATATATATATATATATATCATACTCACAATTAAAGACATCTATAAGTTTTAAGGGAACCATCATTAATCATATGATGATAAAATCAAAAATAATGATCAAACATAAAAAGTTATATAAACTTAAAGGATGGTGATCATCCCTCCTGCACGGTCTCTCCTCTCTCTAGTGAAATTTATTGAATATTCACTGTAATAATCTATTATAATTATATAATTAAGAATATATATAGTTATAATATTAAAATTAATTTTTTTCTTTTCTCAAATTTCTCAAAAAAATATATAATTATAATTATATATTTTTTGAAATACATAATTATAACAAAGCTGTTACATTAAATACTCAATACAATGGTTGTACTAAAAGTTCTCCCGCTCCCGCGCTGCTTGTACAACTGTGGGCAAGCAAGCACGGACACGGATATTTTGAAAAAATTGCGTGTCGGACACGTGTCCGATAGAGACATGCTCTGACACGCGGTCAACATTTGGAGACATGCGATCAACTTTTCGACACGTTCTGACACGTTTTTCAACACACAGTCAACTTTTTCCGACACGCGATCAACTCTCTAACACGCTCCGACACATTTTTTTGTTTTTTTAATCTTAATTTTATTTTATTAACTAAATATAAAAAAATAATTTATAAATTAATTTTTTCCTATTATGAAATTTGACATGAAAAATTAACAAAGTACGAAAAATTAATTTTATTTATATTTATATTATGAAATTTAAATATTTGATTGATTATATAACTATTATGGACTCTTATATGTATTAAATATAAATTATATTATATATATTAAAAATTTTATTTAAAATTGAAACATGTCCCAACGTGTCGAAATATAATATTTTTTAGAATTAACGTGTCGATATATCGTGTCGTGTTCCGTATCCCGTGTCGGTATCAGCACATTATAGCTAGGCTGTGGGTATCAATTAACTGGTCATGACGGCCGGAACTGTATGATTGAATAATCAGGTCTAGGACAAAAACAATTAATTTAAAAAAGCTTTATAAGTTTTAACCAATAATGACACATATTTCATATTTGTCTTTACAATGCAATATTTGATCTCAACTCGTTGCAAATTGCAATCAACTGCAAATGACTTTATCAGTCGAGATGGCTAGCAAGTTCTTATTGTATTATGTTTCTATCGTTAATAAGAAACCATACATATAAAGGTTCAATACATATTTAGGAAAAAAAAACATTCAAGTAAACTAAAAAGAGAAAAGAAATACAAAAGTTAATTATTCAAATATATCAAAATATCAACCAGGGTCATTTAGGAATTATTTAGATGTCAACGGGTGATTGACTATTTTTTTTTTTTTTTTTTTTGGTACCCAGGTGATTGACTATCTAATCGTAGTCAAGTTTTGTTTTTGTTTTCTAAATTGTATTATTAAATTTTATCTAAACTAAAATAAATCATTTTTCTTTTTCTTGTTTTCTAAGTGATGATATTTTCATTAATGTTATGTGCTTAAAAGTAATATTTTATAAAAATTTAATTAAGAAAAATAAATTAAATATTTAAAATTTAAACGAAAAAATTAAGTAAGTGTATGACGAATCAAAGAGACAAGTAAATATCTCCCCAGTACCACCTTTGGGAGGGGTTTAAAGCCTTAATCTTGGACCCGCCCCGAATCGGATTAGTTGCGAAACAATGAACCGATTGAAATATTTCCAAAAAAAAGAGACAAGTAAATAAAGAACATAATTCAAATTATAAGTTGTTGTAATTGGGAATATTGCAGACAGAGAAAAAAAATAGTGTGTTCAGTTAGGTTTACTTAATTTAGAAAAAAATTATGGTCGTTTAAAAATGAAACTGGATTCGGGAATTTATTATGAAAAAAATAATGTATTAACATTGTATATTCTTCATTCTAAAAATATTTATTCTTAAATTAATTACTAAAATTATTGATAAACTTAAAATTATTGTTTCATCCCTAAGAAAAAAAATGAATTCAAAAAATTAAAAATTTCTTTTTGGTACATAAAAAGTAAATTTATTTTGAAAAGAAACACTAAGTTGAGAAAACTTAATTCTTTTTTTGTAGATATTTCAATCTGTTCATTGCTTCGCAGTTAGCCTAATTCGGGACGGACCCTGAGATTAAGATTTTAAACTCCTCTGAAAGACGATAAAACTTAATTTTGAATTGACGAAAGGACTCTCATACCTAGCTACATAATTTTTTTTTTTCAAATTCAAAGCCTTATCATTCTTTAAAAAATGAGTTAGTTTATTTTAATTAATTTAAAAAGAGAGTCAAAGAAGTAATTTTAATTTTTATAATTTTTAATTTTTAATTTTTTTTTAATTGATGGCAAAACTTAACTTATGAAGCTCCAAGCCACTAGATTTGGTGTCTAGTGGTGAGGGGCCCAGGAAGTTTGTATAATATTATTAATCTCGTCCCGCTTATCGACCCGGTCGAAGCACCGGAACATTGGGTCATTGGTTCAACCAGTGGGTCATTGATTCAACCAGTGGGTCACTGGTTGAACTGCATGACCCGATATGTATATGCAAATTTATAAATTATACTAAAAAAATTATAAACATTTTCAAATACATGTAAAAATATAGTAGTTTCAAATATTCCAATATGAAAAATAATAAATCACATACCATTATCCAACCAAGGACCAATAGTTAAAATTTGGTGTCAAAGAACCTACCCCAGATATATATATATATATATATATATATATATATATATATATATATATATATATATGAATTTTATAAATGATATGTTATAGGAAAGTTATTAGGTTATATTATTGAGACAAGAATGGTGGGAACCATTGTTGTTTTTAGAAAAAGAAAAAGAAAAAAAAGTGTGGGACCCTTCATTATTGTCTCTGTCACATAACCTAACAACTTTCCTGCAACATAATATTTATAAAATCATATATATATATAGACTTTTTCACCCTTTTGCCCCTCATTAATTATTTAATAATCATTTTGCCCCTTATTCAGAACTATCTACCAATCTGCCCATCTTTAATCGATTAAATCAAAAATTTAATCGATTAAATCATCAAAATAGGCAAAAATCGTTGACTTGAAGATTTAGTCGATTAAATCTCCCTATTTAATCGATTAAATCTCTCATACATAAGGTTGTTCTTCTGATAAAGAGGAAGATTTAATCGATTAAATCTTCATTTGACCATTTAATCGATTAAATATTCAATTTAATCGATTAAAGAGGGGCAGGTTAGTAGATAGTTTACAATAAGGGACAAAATGATTATTAAATAATTAATGAGGGGCAAAATGATGAAAAAGCATATAAATATATATATATATATATATATATATATATTAGATTATTTATATTTAAACCGGCCCAATCATTAATCATTGATAAACAGCCCAAATCCTGATTAATTCTTGATCTCCATAGCCCACACAATCGTGCCACATCATCAATTTGTAATGAACAAGCCATTCGAAGATTACAACATTCAAGAACGGATATTGCTCATCTCGTAAAATCAACAGTTTTAAACTAACCAAACTGGACGACGTGAATCATGAATTTCAACTGTCGATGATTTTATAATCAACAGCCAAGATCGCACTTCCCACTCAGCAGCCAAAAAAACACAAATCCCACCCATAGAAAATTCTCTCTCTACAAAAAATATAATAGTAATAATATAATTATTGGGAATGGAAAGAGAATTTATCATTTACTTAATTTGACATAAATGTAGGTTCTTAATCTCTTCGTATTCACGAAATGCAGTTTGCAAATCATTCTCTTGGCGACGTCATTTCTTTACTTTTCTTTTTTAAATTTGTATGACCCACCAGTTCAAATTAAATCCGGTTGGGTCACACCGGGTCTATTATTTGACCCACCTAACATGAAAATCGGACTTGTCATATTCAAATTAAGTTATGTGTTCAATTCTCACTTGTATAAAAATAAAATTATGAAAGCTCCGTGCACAAATACTAAAAACCAAGATGAGAAGGAGCACTCTAAATTTTTCGTAAATGCAATTTTACTTTAACAAAATAGGCTCTTTATTTGAAAAATATCTTCAACATTACGAGAGTATTGAAGACTTAGGTAATCTCTTATTAAATATAAAAAATGTAATATATTTATTTTTTTCATTTTACCCATACTTGAATAATTATTTCCCCCTTAGTCCTCATCATTTTCAAATTTTAGTAGAGGAGTACACACTCCTATAATGCCAAAGATGTGCTCTTATATTTGGTATAAGCCCAAACATGAAAGAGTCAAGTTAAAGGTAAGTTGAATATAAACATTTCAATTACAAGAGTCAAGTTACCCCTTATTTTTATTTCTTCTTTCTTCATAATTTTTAATTATTTATTATCTTTAAATAATTAAAAACCTGTTTGACACCTCTCTTTTTTAAACTAGAAGCTACTTTTAAGGTAAAGCTAAAAAAAGAGCTTAAAAAATAAAATTAAAAACTATTTGATGATTATATAAAGTTGTTATTATAGTTTTGAAGAAAGGACGATAAAATAAATTATTATTAAAATAAATTATTAGGTTAAACGTTAAAATTTATAAATAAAGTTTAGATTAAGGGAAAAATAAAATAAATGAGAAGTAAAAAAAAACTGACATACATCTTAAAAAAAAGCTTGTCTCGGGAGCTTTCAGCTTTTATCCTTTTTTTCATTATAAAAAAAAATCATAATAAGGATTTTTATTAAAACATATTTGACGTAACTTCTATTTATAAGGGAAAAAAAAGTTAAAAACAAGACCTTAGAAACTAACTTCATATTAATTATGACTTTACACTACACCATGAGGTTATCAAAATCCCAACCATTAGAAGCATGAGAGGCCAACCTAAGCTTAATTAACAAACACACGGAATTATCGTAATTACGTATGCATCATTGCCTTGCTGTCCTCGAAGAGATTCCTGTGAAAACTTATTTTATAAAATTTGTATATATAGATTAATTTAATTAAATGTTTACACCATATTTATTAATAGATTTTGCTTACAAGTAGTTTTAATAAGTACACTTGTTAAGGAATTTTTTTTAAGAAAAGTTAAATGAAAATAAAACATTTTAATTTCAAAGGTATTACATAATTTACTTATTTTTTTAACTTTTTCTATTTTTTTATTTCAAAACTAGTATTCTTAAAATATTTTTTTCTTTTTTTAGATACCAATCGGTGTTCGAAATATTAATGGGCCTGACTAATCCAGTTTCAGACGTATTCCTCTCCATCCTCTCAGGAATTGAGACTATCAAGATTCGAACACACTACCCTTTAAAAAGGTCAAATCTTAAGGTTTAACCATATCTTCACTAGATCAACAACTCATTCTTAAAATGTTGTTCACATCCTAATTTTAATGAAAATAATTACACGACACAAAATATAACAAAATAAAAATGTATGAATTTTGCTAACAAGTGTATAAAGACTAAAGACATCTGTTAAAGAACATTTAATATTTCTTGTTAAATAATTTTAAATACTTAAAAATAAAAAAGAAGTGCTTTTTTATAAGAACTTTAAAAAATTAATCGAAAAACATGGCGAGCTTCAAGATTTTAGATTAATTATTACGTTAATTACATGAAATACTGAAAACAAATTATTAACATTTAATATAAAGTTTTTAAAATTATTTCTTGACTTTACGTATAACTATTGAATTATTTATTTTTTAAAAGATTATTATCTCTTAATCACGTCGATTGCCATCCAACTTAAGCCAAGAGACACGTTTCGATAACAATCGCAAGAAATCAACTTCAACTCTTCTCACTCTCCGAGCCTTCTATATAAACAAGTTGGGCGTAAAATTGTTGCATTGAACAACACAAATAATACAAAGAAAAAAAAAACGAATTAATGGGTGCTTTAACAGAGAAGCAAGAGGCTTTGGTGAAGGGCTCATGGGAAGCATTCAAACAAAACATTCCAGTCCATAGTGTTCTTTTTTACACCTTGTAAGTTTCCTATCTCTATATATGTATATCTCACTCTATGTTTTTCCTTTTTGTTGTTTTTTTTTTTAATGTAAAAAATATATATATATTCTCCTTTAATTTGGTCATGGCATGGTTTGATTGAAAATAGTATATTGGAGAAAGCACCGGCAGCAAAGGGCATGTTCTCCTTTCTAAAGGACTCTGCTGAAGTACCCAAGAATGATCCTAAGCTCAAGGCCCATGCTGAAAAGGTTTTCGAGATGGTAAGTGCAATCTAGTCAAAATATTTGTTAAGCTAATAGCTATGTTCATCATCGAAGGCAAAAAGAATTTTCAAAATAGATAAGTTTGAAAAATACTAAATAAAATATCTTTCTTAATATATAGTATCATATCCTATTAGTGTTCGTAATTGTTATTTATGATTTTTCTTTGTCATAACTCCCATGTGATCATATGATATTTTCCGAATTGTAGACCGTTGATTCAGCCGTTCAACTCCGAGCAAAAGGAGCAGTAGTGGTGCCAGATGCCACATTAAAGCATTTGGGTTCTGTCCACATCCAGAAAGGAGTCATTGATCCCCATTTTCTGGTATGATAAATAATTAATAACCAGTTGAAAAATATGCATTCTTAAATTTTACATGCTGTTATGATCATTTCTTTGATAATTTAATAAGGCAATAAATAGGCACCTTCCATCTCATTTTTCATTTAAATTATGGTATAAAAATGGAAATAAACAATTAAGGTAAATTATGATAAGTTTATTTTAGGATGAGGTTATTAACACTCTTTATTATCTATTAATTGTTCGCTATTTTTTTTATTAGACTTCTTAATTAATTCTCTTTATTGAATATTTTTTTCAAGTTTACTGTCAATTGACTATATTTTTATTTATCTATTCACAATCAACTAAAATCACCTAAAAAAATTTAAATACAAATAACTAGTTGTGATAATGAGAATACCATTAGGGTTACTGATCATTTTGAATGTTTTATATTTTAAAAAAATATATATCAGAGCTAAACCAACGTTAATGATTTGTAGGTGGTCAAAGAAGCGCTGCTGAAGACAATAAAGGAAGCAGTGGGTGACAAATGGAGTGATGAACTGAGCAATGCTTGGGAAGTAGCCTATGATGAATTGGCAGCTGCAATTAAGAAGGCCATGAGTTGAACTTAGGATCTATTGTCATAAATAAGTTTAATAAATAAATTGTATTTCATTAGAACTTGTTAAACAAGTTCCTGTTATAAAGGTTGTTTAAAATAAGTGGATTATCGTACGCATAAATATATTGAGTTATTTTTAAAATTTGCAAAGACTTCGGTATGTGAATTTCAATTTATAGTTTATAACAATAAGTTTAAAACAATTTAAGGTGCTTTGAAATTATTTTAATAAGCTCATTTAAATAGAGATGTTTCTACTTTCTACCAAAAATAAAAATAGATGATACTAAAACTCTTAAAAAATTATAAAGAACTAGTTAAACACATTGTTAGGTGGATGCAACATTAGTAATTTTACAAATTTTTCTAATATAACCCTTCACACAAGAGTGAAAGATGAATAATCAACAGGCTCATTTACGTGTGCTAAGAATGCTACTTATTTAACTATTTTTTAATAGAATAAAGGCGATTAGGGATATCAATTCATGTTAACAAGGTATGACATATATGAATTTAACATGAACACATGCAATACGAATTTAAAAACATTTAGCACAAATACGACTCACTTATTTTGCAAATTGACACGACATAATATAAATAATCTGTCAACTCCAAAATATGTTGTTTATTATATGGGTTAACATGACACAATAAAACATGAATAACTCAAACACGTGGAAATTTTACCCGATCATTTTTCTAAGTGATTTTTATATAAAAAGATGGCCAGCCATAGAATATATAGATGTGAATAAAGAAATGGTTGTGGCATCTAATTGATCTATGCAGTGTAATGGAAATTGGTATTTTTTTAATAAACTAAATATTAACTTAACATATTCCAGAATTTTAAAATAAAAATATCTATATGTATAAAATTTTACTAATTTTATTTTGGCAATTACTTTTGTCCATTTCACTTAACATTGTGTGGCTTTAATATGCATCATTCAATTACCTGAATGTAAAAAATGTCTTTATCATATAAAATGTAAAAAATATCTTTAATAAATAAAATAATAATGTGGGAAGGAAATGAGAAAAATATTCCTAATTAAAAATAAAATCCAATAGATATAAATTTATATGGTATAAAATTATATTATTTACAAATAATTTTATTTATAGATTTAAATTTTTATAATAAATTTAAATAATATCTACCTTTAATAACGACATAACAAATTAAGTAAAACATGTATTCTAAATTTGTGAAAAAAAATATCCATATAAATTAAACATAATTCCAACATGGAAAAATATCATAAACTAATATTGTGGCAATTAATATTCAATTAATATTAATTATTGAGAAAAAAATTAAATATAAACTTGTAACTTTTACATAACAATTAAACTAGGAACAATATGATAATTCATGTAAATCAAAGATTCAAAATATCCTTACACGATTTAATTAACATATTAACTTAACACATGACATTATTTCCTTGTATTATTTCGCTTTCAGATTCTTCTATGCGTTATATGATTTAGCTTAATTTGTAGATAATATTTTATATGGAAGTTCTTTTCCTATTTTTTAGATTGTCCTTTTTTGACCATTTCCTTCTTATCTCCATTTTTTTCTTTCTTTACCTCCTTTTTTTTTTCCTTCTTTTTTTTTTCCTCTCAATCTTTATTCTCTTATTTATTTATTTTTATGTATTTTATTTTTTCTTTATTTTTTATCTCAATATTTCTTTATTTTTAATTTTATTTTCACTTTCGTGTTCTTTTTTATCATGTATCTTCATTTTCACTTTATTTTTCCTTTTAATTGTTTATTGTTATTTTTTTAATTGATAATGTTATTAATTATATTTTTATTATTTTTCTTCAATCTTTTCATACTTTTTCTTTAGTTCATTTGTCATCGACCGTATAACTAGTTTGGGATAAATATATTATTGGTATTCATGTTGATATAAAAGACAATATTATGGCCTATAAAACGGTATTTGACTATTATTAATTTTATTTTAAATTATTTATAAGTTAATAAAATTGAAGTATTTGAATCAACCTATATCATATTAAATATAATATTTTGATATTTAAATACTATGTTTAAAACAACATTGAAGAATATTATAATTTTATAATTTTTTTAAAAAATATCAATTGACATATAATACTTTTATTTGTTGATCATATTTTCACTTTGATAATATACAAAATAATGTTCATTCGAAATTTTCTTAATTAAGATTAGTTTCATTTTTACATTTTAAGATTTTCATTGAAAATCTGTTTTATAAGTAATAATTTGGATTTTATTTTTTTATTGATTGAAAAGTGATAAAGAATATTTTGAACATGTTAAAATTTAATCTTGCCAAAAATTCATATACTATAGGAAAAATTTAAGCATATTATTTAACATTTTTAAAACAACACATAAATTTGTTATATTAATAAAGGTATAGTGTGTACCAAAACTCATATTAAGAGTATCTTTGACATTTTATATAACTGAGACGAGCAATCAACGAAGCTTTTAAATTATTGTTTGTGTCAATTGCATAAAAAAAAAACATTATCATTTGAAGTTTAAAAATTATTTTTAAATATTTATTAACTTTAAGTAATTAACATAGTCAATATTTATTTTTTTATTTTTATACATTAACATAGTCAAGTTTTGTTACCATAAAATTAAGGTTCTCCCTTTTTACCAAAAAAAAAAAAAAAAGTTCTCCCAAAATCCCAGCCATCGGAAACATGAGAAGCCAGCCCAAGCTTAATTGGCTAACACACAAATATCATAATTTCTAAAATGTCCAATTACAAACTACCTTTTCTGTTTCTCAAGAGATTCTGACTGAAATTGCTTTACAAAATTTTAGAAGATTAGGCTAATTTTGGGTTAGCACATTAATGTATTAACAATTTTGCTAACAATGGTTATAAAGATGTTTATTAAGGAAATGAAAATTAAAAATTTAAATGAAAAAGTACACTATTTAAATTTCCTATATATTAAATACATTTATTCAATACTTTTGATTTCCAATTTACTAATAAATACTCTTCATTGAAAAAATATTTAATTTGAAAAAATAATTGTGTAATCTTTTTTATTAATTATACAACAACAAAAAAAAAAACAATATATGAATTTTGCTAACATGTATCTAAAGGCATGGATCAAAATGCACCACTAGGGTTAGCCTAGTGGTGTGGGGTGTGTGTGTTAAGAGTGTGTGTAGTGTAGGGTGCTGTGTTCAATTCCTTGTAAGCTCCAAAAAAAAAAAAAAAGGCATGGATCAAATAAGACTTAGATTTGTCGTTAAATAGTTTTAATTACGTATAAAATAATAAATAATTTTAAAATTTTCAATAAATCAAATTTTTTTTTTTATTGAACATTTCTTATTTTTTTATTTCTTAATCAGCATCTCAAGCATTGGTTATAACTTTGTATTAATATATAATTGATTCTTTGTTTAGGTTAAATTAACAAAATAAAATTCCACACAAAAAAAATTAAATTAAATTAAATTAAATTCTCCCCTGATACTTGTACTTAGATCTTCTGTCTAACTTCATGTCTCATTTCATGTAATTGTATGGGTTAAAGACTTCTAATTTTATATTAGAAAAATTTATTTTCCTACACATACAATAATATGTGGGTGCTACTGAATTTTCTTTTCCTTTTCCTTTTTCAATACTGGCATCCATATATTTGTTATGTGTGTAGGAAAAGATATTATTCTCATCTAACTTGAAAAGTCTTTAACCCAATTTTTATATGAAAAAATAGTTTTTCTTGTAACAGAAGATAAATTTATCTCCACTAATCCCAAAATGACATCGTTATAAAATTGCAGGAGATAATTTTATTTTCTATAATATAAGAATATTAATCTCATTTTATATTAGGAAAAATTTTACTTTCATCCCTTCTGATTACATGTATTGTGTATTTTTAGTCTTGTTCAAACATTTTCATTGAGATCAATCGTGGTTATAGAAATTCAGTGTGATTTCAAACTATCATTAACACCTATTGTTATTATAAAAGTGTTTAACGTAGAACCTTCATGGTCTTATACTTTTTTTTGGGTATTTTTATGCTATATTATTATGATAAATTGTCAATTAAAATTATAATACAATGAAATAACGCAAATATTCTAAAGATTTTGCTTACAAGTGATTTAAGAATATTTGTTAAGCGAATAAAAAAAAATGTACGTAAAGAAAATTTTTTAATTCTAGAATGTGCTAAATATTTTATTTAACACTTTTAAATTTTTTATCTCTCAACAATTACTCTTAAGGTACTCGTAATTAAAATATTCTTATCTTAAACAATATTATATGAAAAAAGATTATAAATATAATACAACATATAAAATAATATGGTGTAAATTTTACTAACAAGTGTCTAAAGGTATCGGTTAATTAAGGGACGTTTAATATTTCTTATAGAATAGTTTTAATTACTTAAAAAATAAAAATAGATATACTATTTGAATTTTCAGTGTCAAGTATACTATATTTTTATATAAACTTATTATTTTTAATTTCTTAATTAGTACCTGCTGAGCGAGCAGTGTAAGCATAACTCATAATGTACTAATATCTAATTGGCTTTATTATTCAAAAAAAAAATATCTAATTGGCTTTTTATTGAGGCTAAATTTACATAAAAAGTAATGCCCATATTTTGATTTGCTGTCCAATTTTATATGGTGAGATGTTTCCTCGTGTCTCATCCGTTGTATCTTTTATATCAATATCTTTCCAAAATAAAAACCAACAATGTTATATCTTTCTAATTTTTAGATTTTTTTTCCTCCTCCTTTTTTTTAATAAAGGACACTTAATAAACTTAATTGTAGTTAAGCCTAACCTAGCGTGCATAGCTATCTAAGATTTTAGATTAACAATTATCTTAATTGCATGAAGTATAGAAAAATATAATTAACATTTAATATTTTAATTAAAGTTTTATTAATTTCATGACCCTTATTATTCTTTTGAGGC